CGCGAGACCTATTCCGGTAATAACCAAATTTAGTTTTTGCCCCCTTAATAATCTTATAACTTTAATTCAGCCCCTATAGTTTTTTTTTTAATAAATAACAGCTCTGATTACTTAGCGTATACACGTGTGTTGAAAACATTTTCTTGTGTGTCTGTTGAGTGTTTTGATTCCGCTTAAGGCTTCTCTTTCGACATTTCGTCAGTTTTTCTTCCTCAATTTACGTTTCGGAAACCGCAGAAGATCCTTGTGAAATCTGGAAACATCTGAGAATTTTTGAAGCGAAATCGAGAATTGAATCGTTTATTCGATTGATCGATGAATCCTAGAAGGTTAGATCCATAAACTCAAATCGCCAGTTTTTTGTTTTGTTTTCCAGTAGATCTCTATTCGATTTTTGGAAATTATGATCTTGCGATTCTGATGATTATATATGTTTTCATGAGCGCTGTGATTTGTAGAGTATGGTTCGTCAGGTGGATCTGAAGAAGCAGTGGGTATAGAAATCGATAGAGTTGGACTGGTGTTCTGTATTCTGGTAGATGTAGAAGTATCTCAATTCATGTAATTTTAAGATTCGGATCTAAATTCATAATCGGAATCTGAAATTGGCTTCATCGATGATGTCTAGTGCGATTGAATTTTGTAGTTGGTGTTCCATGATAACGGGTAAATGAGATAAGAAGAACACACATAGCGTCTAAGTTTCATACTTGCAAGTGCGTCGTGGTGTTTGTATATTATATGCCTTTCGCTTTAGAGATTAGGTGCTTTTGAGCTCTTTATTTGTCGATTTTGTAGAATCGTAATCCGAGTGGAAGATGATACTGTTTCCTTGCTCAAGAACTAAATTTGTTGCAGGGAGCCTCGTGGTGGAAGAAGTTCTCTCTTTGATGGCATTGAAGAGGGAGGAATCAGAGCTGCTCCTTCGTACTCGCACGAAATCAATGAGCATGAGAATGAACGTGCCTTGGAAGGATTGCAAGACAGAGTCATTCTCTTAAAACGAGTAAGCCTTCCTGCTTCTGATTCTTATGTCATGTTTCAAACTTTTGTGGAGTGTTAATGAAATGGCAAGCATAAAATCTTGCCAAGCATTAAACATGATGTTAAGAATGGTCAAAGTTTAGGAAATGCTAACAAAGAGGAACATAGTCCTGTTATACATTTGTAGCATGGGGTTTTTCTTCTATGTACATAGTTGTATAATAGAAACCATAACATAGTTTCACATTTCTTGGTTCATATTTGTTACGTGTTGTTAGAGCCTATATGGCTTGGACCAGATTCTGATTTGTTTCTTTTTTTCATGAACAGCTATCTGGCGACATAAATGAAGAGGTCGATACTCATAACCGCATGCTTGACAGAATGGTATTTTCCAACTTTTTCTGATAATGTTTTTTTTCTTTCTCACAGAAGACGTTGTTTTGAACATTTTGTAAGGTTTCTATATAGGGCAATGATATGGATTCATCAAGGGGGATTCTCTCAGGAACCATGGACCGGTTTAAAACGGTATATCCGAGCAGACATGCTCTCGCTCTCTCTGTCTCTTACAGCGGTAAGCCTAACTTCACTATTGGTTGCAAAGCGTTTCTGATCTGTTGTATTGAATCCTTTGCAGGTGTTTGAGACAAAATCAAGCCGAAGAATGCTGACACTCGTGGCATCGTTCGTGGGTTTATTTCTAGTCATATACTACCTTACTCGATAAAAGTGGCAAACCTCGGAGTATTCTGAA